ATGAGTTAAGGCTTTACCTCAATTTGGATAGCTAATATGGATTATTGGCAGTATTTAGCTTAAATGGCATAATCCTTTACTGTGCATCATCATATGATAGGAAGGCTAGGATTTGAGGATTAACTTGATGATGATTTTTAATTATGGGGAGAAGGCCAGGTATACAAAGAACTGCCTGTAGCCCAAGGAATATTGTATTGGGAAATCTTCTAGGACCATGGGCATCTGTGAAAAGAGCAAGATCAACTACAAAGTAGTAGCAAAAAAGCACACACACGGTAACAAACTCCCTGTATTCATTTGCTACGGCTGACATAACAAAGCACCACAGACTGCATGGCTTACCCAACAGAAATTCATTTTCTCACAATTCTGGAGGCTCAAAATTCAAGTTCAAGGTGTCAGCAGGGTCGGTTTCTTCTGAGGCCTCTCTCCTATGCTTGTAGACAGCCATGTTTCCCCTGTTTTCACATGTATATGTCTATGTTCAAATTTCCTCTTCTTATAAGGACAGCAGTCATATTTGATTAAGGCCCACCCTAATAACCTAAGTTTAACTTAATTAGCTCTGTAAAGACCTCATGTCCAAATGGTCACATTCTGAAGTATCACAGGTTAGAATTTCAACATGTGAATTTGAGGGAAACAATATTCAGCCTTTTACACTCTCCCTTCTTTTCAGTATTACCCATACTTCTTAAATTCTGCAGTCCAGTGGGGAGGCTATGAGGCAGTAGAGGGGGCCTGAGTTTTGGAGTTAGGCCTATATTAAAATGTCAGCTTAACCATTTCCTAGCAGTGTGACCTGGGAAAATTATTCAGCCTCTTAGCTTTGGTTTCCCCATTTGTAAAATAAGGCTAGAAATTCCTTCTTCACCAGACAGTGATAAAAGTGAAGAGATGATTAATGTGAAATATGGGCAGTGTTGCTCAAGTGTGGGCTGACGCACTTCGAAGGCTTCCATTGTCCTGGAGAAATGAATCCAAACCCTTCGCACAGCCATCAACACCGTGTGTGAGCTCTCATCTTTCACCAGCAGAGAGATGGGTCTGAGCCATGTAGAATTTAGAATTTTCAATGCCTCTGACACAAAAGAGACAAAACAAAAAGATAAAACAGGGATTCAAAAGCTATGGTATGTCCTTAAATGTTAATTTAATAAACCAATGCTTTAAACATTCACATATACTATGCCTGTAAATACAACCTCAATTAGAAATAAGATCCAGAGTTAAATTTGAGGCTCTGATGGATTTGAGGCCAGAGCCTTTTGCCACACACCTAAGAACGTCACAGAGTCTGCGCTGCTGCGGCTTTCTCTTCATTTTGCCAGACAACTTCCTTCCCTAGCCTCTTCCCTCACCACGCGAGACAATTAATCTTTCAGGCCGAGGCTCCAACAGCATTTCCTTAGGGAAGAACCCCTCCACCCTCCAGCTGCGACTATGTGAGTGTGTCACGGGAGCGATTTCAGTCAGGCCACATGATCTCAGAGGACTCTACTTAATCTTTTTAACAGTGACCACAATTGTAACAAGGTAATTCACTACATAATTGGTTGTTTAAGCTCTGCCTCTCCTGCTAGAATGTAGGCAAATAGGAACCTTGGCTATCTGTACTCAACCCTCTATCCCCAGAGTCCCGCAGAGGGCCTGCTCACGCATGCGCTCACTGCCTATACCTGAGTCCATTGATAAGAGGATTTTGAGGTGAAAACGGCTGTTCAGGACTAGGAGCTCCGTATATAGACTTTTGATGCTCTCATCCTCGAATGCCAACATACATCCACTTCTATTTACTCAACAATGATCCCTGTAAAACTCCAAAGTTTGAAATATCCTTATTATACATATTTATCCACATATATTGTTTACTGTAAGAGGTGGTAGTTATGATGAGTGGAACGAGGGGTAAATATCACCAACAATACAGATGGTGTGCCTTTTAGTCACTAATGATAAAACCTTCTGGAAATTATATCATTCAAAGAATGTCATCATCTAGCATCTGTTAAATGATGAAATCTGTTGATGAAAACGAAAAAAAAAAACACAACTTTTTTCTAATACTGTTGTACTCTTTTGATGGTTTAATTTCCATAGTGGTCAGCTTGAGCAGTGGTATATTCTGCAGTGATTTTTGTCTCCTTTCTTTCTCACCTCCAGTTTCCATGAGTTATCTTTTTAAAATATAGGATTGATCATTCACTTGGCGTCTTTTCCAATCCAAAACTGTCCAGGCCCTGCACAGCCAATGGCATCAAACCTAAACTCATCCTCACTCCTGTGTCAACCTTCACAAGCTTGCACGTGCCTCCAGCTCTCACCTTCACCCCTCCTGCATCCTGCACTCTCACCACGGCAAACTTCTCGCTGACCCCAAGCAGGCCATGATCTCTCATGATCTGTCTTTTTAATCTCCCTCTGTGTTCCCTCTGTCTGAGATACCTTCCTTTCCCTCCCTAGCTGGAGCAATCCAATTTATTTTAAAGCTTTACTCTTTCTTGAACTGCTTGGCAGAAGGAAATTGCTTCTTCTTCTGGGCACCCACAGTCCTTTGTTCATAACTCAATTGTAGCATTTATCACTTTGGTTCTATTTAATTGTGTACATGTCTGTTTACTCTGCTAATTATAAACTCTTTGAAGACAAGCAACCATTTTATTCTTATCTCCATATTTCCAATGTCTGGTCTAGAGTTTAGCACAATGTATGGCACAGAGTAAGTATTCTACAGTGATTCTTGAATTAAGTCCTTTGTTCTCATGGATACTTGAGGTATTTGAATTGACAGAGATTTGGGACATTTATGCCAGCTCTCTTGCACATTCTAAGACTCATGCTCTCTAGATAGAATGAAATTACAAATCCTTTTAGCAAGTTTAAATGCAATAGCTCATGTACGGACACTTGTTTACACTGGGGCTCTTTGATTGCAAGCCAAACACCAGATGTTTAGGTTCTAGTTACCCTCAGCAAAAAGGAAGTTTTCTGGAAAGATATTAAGAGTATAGTGAATCAATGCACAGGTTTGAGAAGCAGGGTTTTTCTGAATTGGAACCCAGGTAATTCCAGGGACTAGTGAACAAGAGCAGCAGGAATGAAGTGGCAGCAAGAACAGTTTTCCCTGGGTAGTGACACTAGAATAAATCGATTCGGCCATCCTCAGTTTCTGATACTCCAGTCAAGATTTCAATATCATGGAAGGCGCATCAAGCTTGAGTTATGTGCCCAGCCATTAGCTTGGTGAGGCAAGAACATTTGCCGAACAAACGGTTCCACCAGATTAAACTCAATGGGAAATAAGATAGTTTCCAAAAGAAAATTTCTATCAGAAAGAGACAAGGAATGCTGGTTGCCAAAAAACCAGTCATCTTCTACACTTGTATCCCCAAATGAATTTTAACTCAATACTGTAACAATTGTTACAACGCAATCATTGTTAAATCATATTTTTTCATCTGTAGCCCCTCACTCAGAGAGAATAGACCCCCTAACCCAATTTTACAAAAAGGTTTTATATATTCTTTAAAGTAGAAATTTATGAGACAAAGATGTACTGAGACAGGACTTCAGTGAATGAGTAGTAAAACAAATGGGCATGGGTACAGCGACATCAGTAAGTTCTCGCCATCATCATCCACCTGGATCACCATCAAATCATTATGGTCATGGCAGAACTGTATGTAGCAATGGAGTACTTCAACAGTCCTTCCGGGCCAGTGCTGTTACAGCCCGTTTAGCTCTTGTGTGCGAGCCTGAGTGTTGAGGGAATCATTGGCTCAATTAACTAGCATTAAAATACTGTACTTCTGGAATCATAATCAGGGGACTATGATCATTTACTCTGGAAAATATCTGAGGCATTTTCCCTGCTGGGTAGAGAGGGAAAATTAAATTACATAAAATAAATTCCCTGTTCTCCATATGTGAACTACCCACATTACAGATTGTCAGTTCAAGGGCTGTTATTTGTCACCACGGCCATGCAATGACCCAGCTGGTCTGCAATGTGGCAGCTGAGAAATTATACAGATAAAAAATGTGTTTTCTCTGGTTATTTACATTGACCACATACTTTATAAAAACTACAGGAATAAAGAATGTTTCTTAAAGTTGAAATTGTATTTTAGCTGACATATTATATTACTCTTCTTGTTTCAAATATCCATTCAGCCAAGTTAGAAATTCCAGTCTTTTCGTGGTCTATAATCCTATTTATCACCAAGTTTTTAGCGGCTAGTTTCTCTAGAATGACTCCAAAACTCATCTTCTTGTATCAATTTCCATTCATTTTTCTTCTCCTTTCTTTTAATAGAGTACCATTTTCTTTGGTAGCAAAGAACCAAAATGTCTTTCATATTTCAAAATGTTTTTTGCATTTTTTATTACTTCTAGGATAAAAATATTTCTTTTATATTTAAGTAATTTATTTACCATTTAGATAATCACAATAACCAGAAATCTTAGCAGTCGTGGATAATTGAAACTGTTCTTAGAATTGTGATATTTTTAACCTCTCCTGAAATCACAGTTGTGCCAAACAAACAGGACATTTCTGGCTGACAATTTTTGCATTCTCACTGTCAGAAGCTGCTAGATTCTACAACTTCCTGATAGTTTTGGTTATTTAGCAGTTCTCAAACTTTTTGGTCTCTCAAATCTATTACACTCTTAAAAATTATTGAGAACTTTTGTTTATGTGGGTTATACCTATTGATATTTACAGCATTAGAAATCAATAGTGAGAAGATGTTAAGGTATTTTAAAATAACAATAACAAACGTATTGCCTGTTGAATGAATAATGTGCATACAAAGCGTGGTTTTCTTCTTTGGTTTTTTTTGTTTGTTTGTTTTTAAAGATTTGTATTGGGGAATTGGGGGGATGGGAACAGCGCTGGGGAATTGGGGGAAGGGGAACAGACAAGTTGCTGTCATTTTGTTCTTCAGTCTAGTTGTGGAGGGCGTTGCTTCACTGGCCCAAATTGGCACCATCATTGTGCTCTTCCTGGGCGAGGCAGATCAGTCGCTGGCTTCTGGATGGCCGCTCACTGCAGCTGCTGGCTGCTCACACTGGCTGCTGGCTACACACAGTAGCCCATGGCAACACACTGCCACAGGGGCTGTAGCCTATGCCATCGCAGGCAACTCACAGCAGCCCATCTCCAGGTTGAGCTGTTGTTCAGCATCTTAGCTGTGGAGTGCAGTGTCACTGGCCCTCATATGTGGGATCCGAACCGGGGCCCTCTGGCGTCCCAAGTCAGTTCTTAACCATCGCGCTACTAAGCCCCAAAGCGTGTTTTTAAAATAAAATTAATTAGAAGAATGGCACTGTTTTATATACTGGCTATTTCATTAATGTCTGGCTGATAGAAAAAAACTGGATTCCTATAAACTGCTCATGTATTTAATCCATTGTGATATATCATTTGGCTGAAGTATATTAAGAAAACATGATTTCACAGGGAGGGATATGTAGTCAGAAAAGAGAGGAGTATAGAATAACCTTCTCATATAATTGAATGTTCTTCTTTGGTACTACACTGGCACTCAACAGCAGTAACTTCTTAAAGAATGGTTGAAAGGGGAAACCAAAACCATATCAGTTAACTTTTCTTCCTCTGTTACATGAAAACCCACCAGTCTCTCTCCCACTCTGCGTATCTTTTACCTGTGTGTGATTTTGTAACTTCCAGATGTTGCCAAATTTCATTATTAAGATATCTATAAAAAGTCACACTTGCTAATATCCCTGCTGATTTAATCAAGAACATACTTTTGAATATTAGGAAACTATCAGGCTCATGGTGGTATACGAAAGCTTTTAAATTTTTTAAGTTTTGCTTCAGAGGTGCGCGTGTGTGTGTGTGTGTGTGTGTGTGTGTGTGTGTGTGTGTGTATTGCTACCTCAGAGTACTTAGAATATTTCTAATTGACTAAAAATCTTGCTCGTGGGTTATGATTCCTGGTTTGAATGACCTTTGAACCAGATCTTTCTGCAGGTAAATCATTTCTTCTTTTGCCCACTTCCATTTTTTGCCAAATATTTTGATAATATACCAAGTGATATACGTATATCATAAAATGAAGCAAACAGATACATAGGAAAAGAAAGAAAGAAAGAAAGAAAGAAAGAGAGAGAGAGAGAGAGAGAGAGAGAGAGAGAGAGAGAGAGAGAGAGAAAGAAAGAAAGAAAGAAAGAAAGAAAGAAAGAAAGAAAGAAAGAAAGAAAGAAAGAAAGAACCCATAACCCCACTAACAAAGATAACACTGGTGTATATCATGTTTTCTTTTTCTCTGTTTTGTTTTAAGTAGTCATTAGACTTGTCTAGAAAAAAATATCAGAGGGCTGGCCAAGTGGCGCGTTGGTTAAGAGTTGGCTTGTGAGTGCGAGCTCTGAGCAGCAAGGCCGCCGCTTCAGATCCCACATGAGCCAGTGATGCTGTGCCCTCTACAGCTGAGATGGTGAATAACAGCTCGACCTGGAGCTGGGCTACCGTGAGTTGCTGTGAGCGGCCATCCAATGGCCGGCGACCGATCTGCCTCACCTGGGAAGAGCGCAATGATCACAAGGCCAACATGGGCCAGTGAAGCAACGTCCTCCACAACTAGACTGAAGAACAAAAGGACAACAACTTGTCTGTTCCCCTTCCCTAATTCCCCAATTAAAAAAATATATATAGAAAAAATATCAGAGATAATTCATGCTCTAATGTTATTTTTCCCATTTCAATCTAAATTAGACAATATTTTTAGCCAGGTTTTCTTTTTTTTTTTTTTCTTTCTTTCTGGAAAGCAGTTCCATTACCATTTCAATACTGTCATGTATTAATTTCCTATGGCTGCTATATCAAATTACCATAAATTTAGTGGCTTAAAACAACACAATTTATTATCTTACCATTGTGTGGGGCCCCACTGGGCTGAAATCAGGGTGTCAGCAGGGCTGTGTTCCTTCTTGAAGGCTCTAGGGGAGAACCTGTTTCTTTGCCTTTTCCAGTTGATGGAGGCCACCTCCATTCCTTGGTTCTTGGCTCCTTCCTCTGTCTTCAAAGCCACAAGGGGTGGCTTAGGTCTTTCTCACATGGCCATCTCTCTGGTTCTCTCTTGCGCAATCTCCCTCTGACCATAGCCAGGAAAGCCCATGTGATGAGAGTGGGCACACCCAGATAATCCAGAACAATCTTGCCACCTCAAACTCCTTAATTTAATCACATCTTCCAAATCCCGTTTTTCATGTAAAGTAAATATTCACAGGATTTGAGAATTAAGGTGTGGATATCTTTGTGGAGCTATTATTTTGCCTTCCACAATTACTGGCAGCATCCTGAGGAGGATTCATTGTTTTCTAAAGCAATTTATATCATTTTAAAAGTAATATGCGGGCCGGCTGAGTGGCGCGATGGTTAAAAACTGGCTTGGGACGCCAGAGGGCCCCGGTTCGGATCCCACATATGAGGGCCAGTGACACTGCCCTCCACAGCTG